AACGGGGCATCAGATGCCCAAGTACTCCTGGTCTCTGGACCGCACGCGACGACTAACCGTCATTTCCAAAACCTGAAAATGTTTAACAACGGGAATGAGATAAATCTCAATAAGCAGACCCCTAAACCCCACATAGGCCAATGCATACCTGCACAAGTTCAAGATGCAATCTAACCGATTACATAAATATAATTCACATAAATGGACTTACCTCGCCATCCAATCACATGCCCACACCGCACATTAGTCAAATCATGATAATGCAATAATATCCCAAAAGTCCATCACAATCACTCGAACGCCATACACGCGTACGTTCACTCAATTCATCCGTGCACAAAACACATGCGCATCCATCCAACTTTTTCACGACCCGGGTCAACACCCCACAGGTCAGCCCTCCGATCAATCCGGGCTCTGTCCCGGGTCAACACCCCCACAGGAACTTTCATAAACAAATGTTCACATGACCCGGGTCAACACCCCACAGGTCAGCCCTCCGATCAATTCGGGCTCTGTCCCAGGTCAACACCCCACAGGACCTTTCAAAAACAAACTTTCACACGACCCGGGTCAACACCCCACAAGTCAGCCCTCCGATCAATCCGGGCTCTGTCCCGGGTCAACACCCCACAGGACCTTTCAAAAACAAACTTTCACACGACCCGGGTCAACACCCCACAGGTCAGCCCTCCGATCAATCCGGGCTCTGTCCCGGGTCAACACCCCACAGGACCTTTCAAAAACAAACTTTCACACGACCCGGGTCAACACCCCATAGGTCAGCCCTCCGATCAATCCGGGCTCTGTCCCGGGTCAACACCCCCCAGGACCTTTGGACAATCACATACGCCACAATCACATACGCCACGTGATTCAATCAATTTCCACGCCATATTCAAGCTTCAATAACATTAAATCAACTCAGCCACGATCAGCCCGCGTGCCACAATTCATCCATTACTCTAGCACATTAAACCCCATCTACCATTGCAAGCCCGAGTCCATATGATATGCTTTAAATCAACCCTGAATAATTAACGCGATTCATCGCCAAGCAAATATTGTATCACACACGAACAATCCATAATCGCAGCATAAATTCCAACATCAACGGCCCCCTAACTCAGCACCAAAATCGGCCCTAAATTGCCACGATTCAATCCACGTTCCGACCCTACTCACTCACCCCTAACCAGCCCACATCTCAGCCACCAAATCGCGCTAAACGACCAACGAATCGGCCCGAACAGCCCCTAATCAGCCGCAAATCCCATACTAAACAACCCCTAAACAAGTCTAATAATACACAAAGTCCTAGACAAGGTTTAGGGTGTCGCTTACCTTGACTTGAGCAAGAAAACAAGGCTGGACAGCGGGGGAAATCGTCGGGACAGCCGCAGCGGCGGCGATCGGCGAGGCTCTCGGCCACGGCTGGGCGACAGCGGCGGCAAGGGAGCTCCGGCTGAGGCGGCAGCAGCTCGGCGGCGGTGGGGGCGAGCAGGGGCCTCGCCGGAACAGCAGCAGCTCCGGCAGAAGCGCAGCGACTCACGGCGGCGACGAGCTAGACGATTCCGCGGCTTAGGGAGGGGGAAGGGACACGGCCAGAGAGAGGAGGAGAAATGGGGCGGCTGGACAGCTGGGCGAGGCGGCAGATCCGCGCCGGAACAGTAACGGCGACGGCGGAGCTCCTCCAGCGGAAGGCCTCTCACGGCCAAAACAGAGAGGGAGAGAGGGGGAGGAGGCTCACGGGGCGGAGAGGAGAGGAGGGGGGTTGCCGGCTGGGGTGAGACGGATGGCGGCCCACGGCGACGGCACCAGCGAATAGCGGCGGCCGGGCGCGGCGGGCAGCAGCGGCGGGAAGAAGTCCAGAACAGGGGAACGCTTCGGGGGAGAGAAAAACAGGGAAAGGGGAACCGGGGTCTCGCCGAGCAAGCAATAAAGAACGGCGGCGACGGGCCGATGGACGGGCGTACACGCGCGCGCGGAAGGACGAGCCGCGGCGTCCGCCGGTTCGGGCGGAGACGGCACCCGCGTGCAGCTCAGGCGAAGCTGCCGCGAGACGCAGCGGCGCAGCGACGGTGCAAGGAAGACGGCGGCGTCGGCTACTGGTAGGGTGAAAAAAAACAAGAACCCGAGAGTGATCAGTTCCCGGGCGAGATTCTATTATAAGCGCACTGACGAATTACACGTTTTATAAATTCCAAAAATGGGCCGAAATTCGGAATGTCACAGACAGAGATTTTTCTTTCGACCATATTTCGATTGTAAGCTATTTACGATTGAATGCCTAGGGACTAAGAATCAAAAGAAGGACGTGATATCCAGCGATAAGCTTAAGATGCTGTAACTCACGCTAACATAATTTTCTAAATTAAAAACCATTTTATTACGTTTTAGATCCTCCCCCATGCAGCCACGGCTCCCATCGCTAGTCAATTTAGATAATCTAACCAAAATCATTAGAGAGAAGGGCCTAATACCCTAAAATACCTCAAACTTTAGCTTTTGTCCCAATTTTACCTTTTGTCTCCTAAAAAACCTCCAACTTGAGGTCATGTTCCAATTCTACCATAAATTTTTTTTTGTCCCATAAAAAATCATCAACTTTAGGTCATGTCACAATTTTTCCATAAACTTTTTTTTGTCCTATGAAAAACCCCTAACTTTAGGCTTGTCCCAATTTTAACGCCCAGTCCCAATTTTACCCTAAAATTTTTACATTCTTATAAAAAACCACAAACTTTTACTTGAGTCACAAATCTACCCACATTGACCCTCCTTCCAAAATTTCACATTGAAAATCGAGAGATGGAGAATTCCCGAGCACGAGTTGTTCGAGTGTCTCGAGTGCGAGCTCTCTGACCACCAAAGATGGAACATTCCCAAGCAGGAGAGATTTACGAGCGCAAAATCATTAAGGGCAATTTTGACGAATGGTTGATGGAGAGCAAATTTGGGACTCAAGTAAAAGTTAATGATGTTTTATAAGACAAAAAAATAATTATAGTGAAATTAAAACTGGACCTAAAGTTGGGAATTTTTATGAGAAAAAAAAAATTAGGGTAGAGTTGGTAATGAACCCAAAATTGATGGTTTTTTATGATACAAAAAAGGTTTATGGTCGAACTGGGATCGATTTAAAGCTGGGGATTTTTTGTGGGACAAAAACAAGTTTAAGGTAAAATTGGGACAAAATCTAAAGTTGAAGGTTTTTGATAAGACAAAAGGTAAAATTGGGACAAAAGCTAAAGTTTGAGGTTTTTTAGGGTATTAGGCCTAGAGAGAAGAGACTTTTTTTCCCATAGCGAAGAATGCGAGTTGTACCGATACGAGCAAAATACAAAAGAATCATTGTAACAATATTCGCATAGATTTTAATAGAATCATTTAAAAATGGTTGATGAGCTATTGTACTCCAGATTGATTCTTAAAGTGATCTTCTCTGCCAGTGCAACATTTGAGAGTATAACAAGTATTCCACCTAAAGGATAAGTGTATTGGAAGCCCTAACACTTATCAAAAAAATGCAATTGAGTCCTAAAACTTTCAAGAATTGCAATCAAGTCCTAAAACTTTTAAAAAATGCAATCATCATAGGGACTTGATTGGACCAATTTAACAAGTTTTAAAACTTCGATTACACTTTTTGAAAGTTTTAAGACTCGATTACACTTTCATAACAAGTTTTAGGGCTTAATTCCACTTTTTAAAAGTTTTAGAACTTAATTGCACTTTCGTAACAAGTTTTAGTACTTCCAATGCGCTTCTCCCTCTAACTAATGCTATTCCTTTTCTTTTGTAAATATTATTCGAGAAGGTGCAAACAATGTTTTAGGTCCTGCTATCTCTAACGCAGAAAGCGTAATATCTATTATGTTACAATCTTGATTTATTATGATTTCTATCGACAAGTAATGTGCCTAAAACTAAGTTGCACAAACCTTTAACTCATTGAAAACATGCGGGTTCAATATCGAAGATGACGAGCCACTGTGCGAGGCATGCTAACATTGTGTTGTCTACTCATGATTACTCTCTTCAAGGTTTCAAGTAGTACCACTAAGGGGGTATTTGGTTTAGCTTTGGAAAGGGGCTTTAAGCCTCGAAAGCCCATTCCCAAAATGCTGGGATGTTTGGTTCATCATTTGACCTAGCATTTGGCCAATGCTAGCATTCCAAATGTTGAAAGCCCAAAGCTAATCCAAACCAGCCTTGGGCTTTCAGCCTTTGCTAAATGCTACTGTTCATGCATCACTGTTCATCTTCTTCGGCGAGGGAGGGCGACCGGCGCCTGGATCACGCCGGCGAGAGGCCGGCGAGGTCGCACGACCCAGGCGACGGCCGCCGGAGGTCGCACGACCCAGGCACCGCCGGCCAGGGTCGCGCCGCGGCCAGTGGTCGCGCCGCCGGTCACGCAACCTAGGCGACGGCCGCCCGAGGTCGCGCGACCGAGGCGACCGCCACCCGAGGTCGCGCGACCTCAGGCGACCGTCGCCTGGGTCGTGCGACCCCCGCTGAGGGTCGCCTGGCCTCGGGCGACGGCCGCCCGACCTCGGGCGACGGCCGCCGACGCCAGATCTATCTCACCGGCGACCGTAGGCCATCGCCGGCGGCCGGCTTCGGCGATGGGTAGGTTAGTTTTCTTTTTTAAATAAATAAGATAATTCTCAAAGTCCATTTGCAAAAAAAAATTCACCAAACACTATATTTTGACCAAAGTAGCTTTGCAAAATATTTTTACCAAACACCATTTGCATTTCCCCAATGGGCTTTCACCCAAAGGTATTTGCATTCCCCCAAATAGCATTTTTAAAGTTGAACCAAACAGGCCCTAAGTGCACCACCCATGGGTTCTCTGTCATGGTGTCCCGGTTTACAGACTTTGATTTGTTAATGATCTTTGGAACATGGGTGTAAGAGAATTCTGAACAGCAAGGTTGGCTGGTTCAGAATCTGGCATCCGGTAAGAGATACAAACTTAAAAACTGCAATCCAGATTATAGTTTCGAGCTGGTTTCCTTCACAATTGGTAGAACTTGTCAGTTCGCATAGGCCACGATATTCGCTCAATGTATCAGAAGAGGAGATTGTTTTCGCATTCACAAAATCATCGAAGAAACAAACATATGAAATGAATGATGAATTGAAAAGAAGCTCATCAGATGACTCGAGCACAGTCACCTGCATCACATATCAATACTGCTGTTTCTTGGTTCAGTTCGCTTGCCAACTTAGGCTGGCGCTTGGAGTACTCTCCCCTGACAAATGATGCAGCTTCTGCAGCTTTATTGGCGTCGACAAATGCAAGACAGCATCCTCTAAATCCAGCGCCACTGAATCGTGCCCCGAACACACCGGGAGCCCTAAGAAGAATTTCATACAATTGTATGAGCGGTTCGGCACCTGAGCAATTTCAACACTAGGGTCAGTGCTTTATAAATCAGGGCTCAGAGCATATTAAGATCCAACATGATCCACACACATACACACAGGAGACAGAACCTATTAAGGGAGCTCCTTCATATTATCTGATCAGCTAGATCTATTTCAGTGACGTGGTGAAAAATTGATTAGCTGTTTCAACGAGGAAGGACAACGCAGGAGAAGACAATGAAAGAACAAAAAGCATCAAGGGCTCCAATGTGTTCATAAAATTAGCCACTGGTGGTGGATGTCAAGAAGTTTCACATCAACATCCCACATTTGCTACCTGTTGTCTCATCAAGATTTGGAAGCCAGAGCCCCGTTGTGGCTGACACATACCAAAGACCCATCAAAATAGTTGAAATGCCTTTAGAACTTGTTAGGTAACAAAAGTAACTCATGACAAGGATGGCAAGAAAATGAAAGTTAGTAGTTGAGCTTCTCTAAATTACGTCTCACAGCTGCCTATTACTCCTTCCCACTGGACTAGTAGATAACGACCCCCAAAATCCAGCAATGTTAGCTATATCAAGCACTGCAAACGAGCCATAAACTCCAAACTAAAAAAGGGTGGCTAGCATTGTTCCCAGTAAGAAATATGCCAATAGCAACAGCAGCAGCAGCAACTAAAACACCAACTAAAGCCTCTTCCCAGATACCAACGTAATTTCACCCAAAAAAAAAGAGTACTCTTTGCTGTCAATGTAATTCCTATCGGCTCATACATCATCAGTTCAGAACTGTATGAGGTAACTTAATGCCGCTGGTGAAAATTAGTTACATACCACATTCATAATTCCGAATTGAACTTAAACCGGATGCTGAGATTAGCTCTCCGAATTTTTTCATGTCTCCTGTAGCCCAAGTTTCAATTCCTGCAGTAAATGTGGGATGTCTGCCTATAAGCTTATACAGCATATGAACAGGAAATCAAGACGACAATGGAAATACATCCAAAAGAAATAGAAAATTGTTTGGAGCAGTGATACCTTTCAGAACGCGCATATTCTCTGAAAAATAATGCTCAGCTCTTTTAGCTAGGTTTGTTTCTAATTTATGCTGCGGGAAGAAAATGATGTTTGTCAAGTTAGTTGGTGAATGCTAAATGAATTTCAATACATGATAGTCACATAACATGAGCACATCTTGAATATTATCTTCTTCTATTTTTCGAAGAATCTATGCCTGGGATATGCCTGCAGTTAAAGCAACTGTTCAATCAAAATATAATGAGCTAAAGTATCTAAGATCTTCATCTTAGTTCCAGAAGATAAGCACATCCATGTGCAAACACGAGCTTTGTGTAGAAAGAAGGAAGGTCAACAAAAGCGTGAGACAGGTTACATTACCGAACAAACAGTAGACATTGATGAAGCCAAAGTACCTTATAAGCTTCGTAAACTTCAGGATGAACTGCTTGGTGAGGAAAAACACATTAGCCCAGTTATCAACTCATTAAAGAACTATCAATTTTGACGAGTGGTCAAATACTTGCCATCAGACAGGACAGGCTCCGTTTTGCCATTTCCAGAAGCACTGTTAATTAAGAAAAAGTAGTATTACACAATGGAAAAAGTATATTGCAAACAGAGTACTTCTAGGTGATGAATATGATGTTAAAGGTGTGATTAGCTCATACAGAGGTGTCATTGTAACGAGGACTTAAATAATTAGCCAAGCAAGAAAATTCAAATCACATCCACAACACAAGCAAATGGCCAATTTATTAATCTCATAATCTGCACCGCCTCAATACATGGTAGTATAACGACCAATACCAATAGTAAAAGCCAAATGACATTGGTAAAATTTTGTGGGACTATTGCCAATTGATGTAAAAGTTTAAATAACTAGACAATACCTGTTTTATCTTTAAACATTGTAACATCCTCCTTCATGCACAAACAGGTATTTGATCAAAAACTAAAAATGGAAACTAATTATTTTGAGGAAGCAAATAAAAGACCTAGATTCATTTAAAAGTATAAACTCTTGCCCTCACATCATACTATTAACCATTCTTCCTAAAACTTTAAGTTGGGAAACAGATATGCAAAGTACATACTTTTTAACCCCCATTATGTGTAAGCCAGACCTCACATGCTAAGAGCCTGTTTGTTTAGACATAAGAATAAGTAGAAAATAATTTTTTGCTTTCCTGCCAAAATCTAAAATGTCTTTCGAATTTCTAAAACTTATGAAAAAATTATATTTTAATCTGCATATCAACATGTGAGTATCATCAAAGTTTAAGGAGTTTTGGACTTAAAAAGGTCAAAGTGTGTGAGCTGCAAGATATAGATTAAGCAAAAAATGTGACGTAAAAGTTTTAAAATAGGCCCTAAAACAAGAAGTGGAAGCAACCATTTTGACAAGACAATTGGAGACAAGAATATAATGAATTCAATGACAGGAAAACCAATAGAATAATGGTTGAACGCAGGATTATATTTCTTGACTTGTCCTATAATATCACGTGAAATAATCATTGCTTATATCGTCAAGCTTCATATATAGTGTATTCCTTAACACTTTTCACGTGTAAGGTCTGATTATAATTCTGGACCATGCTATGGTATCATGTGGATTAATCATTTCCTCAAAAGCTTAAACTATTAAGAGATGTGCCTACAATGCATATCTAGCATATTTCTTAAACACTTTTCCACGTGTAAATTGGACCTTACGTCTGAAACACATTATGTGGACTTAACCAAATTAACAAAATAACCAGAGTCTAGAATCACCAATAGCAAGAAAGCCCATAATACTAAGAGGAGTTGTCGGGATTTGAAATCTAGACAAGTATTCTGCTAACATGTGAATCAATCGTCCTCTCAAAACCTTAACTTTTTTGAAATAGGACCATAATACATAGGAGAACAGTGTTTGGGTGAGCACAGAACTATTCTACTAGGTAACTAGTTTTTCTATATTGCAACAACACTAACACATTCTTCAAAGTGCATTCACATATAATTAAAATATAAAGTTTGAGTTTTCACATCTTCCCACACAACAACAAACGGTTTCATTTTAATGGTGAACTTTGAAAGATGAAAGGTCTTTCAAAGAGGAATAATAATAAAGTTAGAGAAAGTTCGTTGAGTCCTCATCATGAAATGAATTCAAGTAATATGGACGGCCTAAAAGGTTCTAAAACTTTTAGAGGCAATGGAAAGACTTGTTTCTAACGTAAAACATCATGGGGCTTCCTTTGTCCATATGATGAAATTGAATTCACACTTCGGGAGCAAAGAGGCATCAAGCAGGTATTGTTAATGAGAAAATGGCAGATCATTGTTTGAGGTTCTCAGTACGTGGAAATGAAATCTTCAGTGCTTCATCAATTAAAATGCAGGTTAAAGGTAGAGGAAGGCCTAAAAAAATAAAGATTATTAGGAATGATCTGGATCATAGGAGGTTTGTCAGTACGTGGAAGAGGGATCCTCAGTGCTTCATTCAATGGGAATGCGGGTTAAAGATAGGGGAAGGCCTAAAAGAATGAAGACTATTAGGAATGATCTGGATCCTTAGGTGCTTCATCAATGGGAATGCAGGTTAAGAGAGTGAGGAAGACCTAAAAATAGATGACAATTAAATTTGATCAAAATCAGTGAAAACCTGATACATAATAAAATGCGTTGATAAAGTTTATCCATTTAACAAATCTGCCTCGTAGACTAAAAGCTTGTTGGTTGTGGTTGGACCAAAAAGGTTGTTGACATATCTAGACTCTACATATGAAACTTGTGCTAGAGATATGAGGTCGATACCTCCAAGATCCCACACGCTTCATGGCTGTACCCACCCATCTTTCACCGTAGCTTTGAGCGACTGTGGAAAAATAACTAAAAGTGCTAATCTGTGAGTTGATTTTTCAAGCCCATCACCATACCCTCTAAGATCCAATACGCTTCATAGCTGTACCCATCCATCTTTTATCCCTAGCTTTGAGCAAGTGACGTCGAAAACTACACTAAGTTCTAATCTGTGTGCTGATCTTTCAGGGCCATCACCATAGCCTTGCAATGTGGCACTACAGCCGTTGAACAACATCACGTGCTGCGTAAGCTAACCACAGGCTAAAGTCTGAAGCATGTAAAAGATAGTTCAAACTGACCTTGATATGGTTGGCCTAATTTTGCCTTATTAATGGCACATGACAAAGTAAAAAACTAAATATTCTTTGCAATCTTATTCTAACCTGACAGGAGTAGATCACATGTATAACAACAGGATAAACCGCACAAACAAGAGATGTTAACATCGTCGCAAGTGCAAACCAGAGAACAATATGAAGAATATATGTGAAACTAAGAACGAGGAGCCACACTTTGAATAAACTAAAATAGGGCATGACTGACTGGAACATGGATCTAAACCCAACCTTTAAGTGAGCTATTGGTGGAGGAAGATTACATTTATGTTAAGCCATAGACCCCTTACACAAGTGATGTGAAATAACAGCCTCACCATAATTAAGTCCTTAACAATTATATCACACCATGATTCATGTTGTTTTGGACTTTCTCCAACATGCAAATCTGTTGCATAGATATTGACTTTGTCATTCACCCATATAAGATTTCATATACACAGAGATATTGTTTGCTTGTGTTAAAAGAAGGGATAACTACAAAAGTGATCCTTTTGACTTCACCCTTAATTACACTTTGCACCTACTAGTTTAAGAACCTACAATTTACCACTTCTAGATTCAAGACTTCTCATTTGGCAGTATGAAGTTCCAAAATTATCAATACTTAGCACCCTCTAGTTTCTAGCACAGTGGTTTTTCTAACACTAGTGCTAGACCCCGAGATGCAAAACAGTTTACAAAGATCACGCGCAAAGTGCACGGTTTTAAAACCAGGGGTGAAAGCGTCAAAATGGGGAAAATTGATGATATTTTTGTAATTTCGAGTATCATTTACTTATTTTTACATAGAAACATCAACCACATGTAGGCATATAGAACACGATATGATATAAATAGATATATGACATGATATGTAACACAGGTACTAAACATTGATTGAAGATCAGAATATCATATGATACAAGAATATCTCATCCAAAGTAGAGGCGAACTACCTTTTTCCAGAATAGTTAGTAGTGAAAAACAGTATCTCTCGTCACAAAATTGACCCAAACATTGCTAAGACAAGTTTTTATCCATACATCCTATTTTCGCCTCATGAATAATAATTACATTCTCCAGTATGTGGCTTCATTTATTAGATAATCATTCAAGTTTAGAGATATGAATTTCGTCCCATGTTTGGGAGCTGGAGGCAGTCTCCTCTTTCTTTGGATAATTATATGCTGAAAATATCCCGAGCTCTATTGAGGACACATTTCAATGGAAGATCTCGAAATGTAGGAAATTTGAGGTTAAATATTATTATGCCTCATGAGGTTTCATGTCCTAGTCATATTATGCAAAAACAAATTTGGAAGGTTAAAGCTCCATCTTCGAGTTGCTTTCTTCACCTGGTCAGCATCTTCGGCAAAAGTTCTTGCACATGAAAACTTAGGAAGTCATGGCTTCATCATGGTAGATTCATGGTGTTGCACGAGCAAGAAGAATTCGGAATCTATGATTCTATCTATTTACCCATTGAGAAGTCACCTCTTCAATCTAATATTGTTTTTTGATAAAATGTGATCTTTCTTGGTCATATCACACTCCACATTTGCTGGTGAAAGTACACAGTGGGCTCAAAATCGAGAAGAAAATCCAGAGATTTGTACCATGACGACTTGAGAAAAACAGTCTAGAGGGTTTGATCTACAAAACCTTGTCTGTTATATAGTTTTTGCTTCAATTTTTTCTGGTTTTCTGGAGTGCTTCTGCATTTTCTATTGTCTAGTTCCTGTACACTTGGACAATCCTCTTCCTTTTTACAAATAATTTTTTTACTTATCAAAAAAGAAGAAAAAACATGCATATCTCAGCAAAATCTCATCACTGTATTGATCATTCAATTTTCAATTTGTGGAGTAAAAAGCGAAATCTTACTCCAAGAGAAACTTTGCAGCCTCCTGACACTCTTCAACACGGCGGTTATACCCAGGATTACTGGTCAAAGCTTGCTTCAAGCCTGAAAAGGCCAACAAGATTTTGAAAGCTTTTGGCACCAAAGGAATGTCCTTTTGCAACTTTGAAAAACGAATAAGCTCATGCTTTTTAGTCTGCACAAGAAATACTTCCCTCATCAGAAAACCAAACTTCCAAACAGATAATTGAAAAACTTTACATCTCAATTCATCTACATATGCAGCATGGGAAAAGTTCATATGGACAAGAAATTAAACTTAAAGTACATCATTAGTTCTCAGTATAAGCCATCAAATATGTATATTCAGTATACTGAATAACTATGAAGTTCAATGAAATCTGTAAATACAAGAGGAGATAACTCATTTGCCATTGAAAACAATAAGAAAGTTCACGTCACAGTGTTTGTGTGATGAAAAGTCACATACACCCAGTTTTATAGAATTAATGCTGGCAATGCAAATGGAGAAACATGATAATGAGAATTGCAACTAAGTAAATTTAAGTGTGTAGTAAGAGAGGTGCAATATGCTTAAATAGGTGGCTATAGCTTCTCAATTAGCAGCTAAAGGGGTGCTGTAGCTTTTACAATGTGTTCAGTAACACCTCACGGCTGCAACACCTCCACAGTGGCACCATCTTCCAACAACTATTAAAAAGCTACTGCACCCAGCTTTACGGCACTGGATCTTTCAAACATACGTTACCAAAAAACAACTATACTTCTAACACTTCACAGGACAGTACAACAGCAACACAACCACAACCATGCCCAACAGACACCAAATCCATGGTAATCTAAGTGCTGGATGAGTAACAAGTTCCAAACTATATATATATATAGTCTTCATTGTCTTTTTATTGTCTTTATTGTCTTTATTGTCTATATGTATACATATATATATATATATATATATTGCAGTAAAAAGGTAAAAGACAATAAAGAGATTGATACAGAATGGTTGGGGTTTACTGTATGGTCTATCTATTTATAATAACAAAAAATGAAAATTTACAAGTACATTACTGTACACTCAATATATGCTCACACTGACTATATTCCTCAATTCATACAAGAAAAACTCTTTAATAAACCCCTAGCATGAAAGATTATTCACAGGCATCCACGAATTAACCAACCATACCTGCTTATACTGCTACCTAATTTAGATTGCCTAGCCAAAATAAAGGTTCCTGAAAGAGCTGAACATCAATCGAAGAAGATGGTTAATACTTTTTGTAAGACTCTCTTTGCAACATGAGGTATCACTTGTAAAAAGCAAATGTTGTTGTGGATGCACTAAGCTAAAACGGCTGAGATTCTGAAGCCTATATGTGGATTTGAAGATACAAACTGACGGAAGTCTCCATTCGAGCTAAACGCAACTTGCTAGAGATCAAAACAGTCAAAAAAGATTTGACCGGCATACTTTCAACTTTAAAATCGCAAAATGGAGAGTTTCCAAGATTTGGTAACAGATTATGCATGCTCAATGGTTCACAGATTACCACAGAGATTATGGAAGAAGCTCGCAGACATGCCATAAACTTTAATTTCAACCAGACAAATCATGAACTTATCGTTTATAACAAAATTTATTCGTCGACAATGACTAGGCCAATAAGGCAAGCTTGCAAATATAATGACCGACATTTAAAATGACATGCAGCATGCTGGCTAACCATAAACCTAAAATGTGCATGGTGTTATTTGGATGATTGTGTGTAAACACGATGGTTCATTGCTCACAATTTGCAATACACGCAGAATCTCAGCTGCAACTCTAACAATAAAAGATTTAAATACCTCGTTATTACAATCCCTACATACCTTAGACATCTATGGATGGCTTTAATATGAAAGAATGAACAAATTTTGCATGGCTACTGGCAACCCATGACGACTACCAAAACTTGCTTCGAAACAATGCATTTCCACAACAATAGCCATTTCCCACTATTTGCAATTGGCTCCGTAGATCCTTAGTCAGAAGATTATTCTACAACCCTTTGTGCATTGAAACATCCCCACATTACCTTGCAATTCATGGAAGTGAGACAACCATGACTTGATAGTAAAATAGCTGATTGATCCAGAATGCCATTCTTAAGGCCCAAATATTCATTTTCAATCAACCTGCATGGAAAGGAAACATATGAAGAGCTCCATTGATCACCGAAATACACCGACTAGATGATTTCAAACAGTGCACTATTTCATAGCAAAAAGAAGAATAAGGTATCAACTACAAGTACAATTTTTCCTTGTTTAATCTTGTAATAAATTTCCAGATAAGTTTAACCAATTCTCTCTTCCCATTACCCACGACACTCTTTTTAAATACATCTTCCATACCACTATACACTCTTCTCCTTAGCTTTCCACTTCATTGCTCCAGAATTCAACTTTCCACATAGCGAAAATACTTGATGAAAGCCATTAGTGGTCGCCACAATTTCAGACTTCAATGGGTAATTGCCAGTGAAAATGGTTCTTTACATCTCAAAATAAAAGTCTGGCGTAAGACAAAAAGGATCCTATACAAGCCTACATGCTTTATGGGGGAGACGCAGGCGCATAATCCTATTTTAATAGTTTTAATTGTTTTTCTGCTATATTTAGTCTTTTCGTATTTATTAGGTTAGTAACTAATCATGTGATAGTCATGTAACTTTTTAAATAGGTTGGATGATTGAGATTAGTTGTTATTTTAGATAAGGGTTGAGATCGTACTTATGTCTGTAACCCTAGTATAAATAGGCTTTAAGTCTCTTTATCATTAGTTTTTTCCTCGCTATAAACCTTAGAATACCCTTTCTCTGTTCCATCTTCAATTCAACTCTATTTAGCCATAGTTTTGTTCTTTTTGCCATTTTTTGCTTCTCTGACTACATCAAATTGGTGTCCCAGCCCCCGTTAGCGTTTCTCCTACATCGAATTAGTATCAGAGCGAAAAAAGTCCTAACTTTTAATGAGGGTTTTCATTTCCCCACGATGGTTGGACATGGAAAAGGCAATGAAGCCCAACAAACAGAGATCGCTGAAATGAAACGTATCGTTGAAGATTTGAAGTAAAAAAGTTACTAAGTTGAGGAAAAATAAAATGGCAACACTAACAAGTCGATTGAAAAGGTCCATAATAAATACATTCAATTACGCAATATGTAGTGCCTAAGAAGTTTGCAGTGGTACCTGTCATACTCTATATTTTCTGCAGGAGACATGAGTAAATTATTTGCCCTTTCAAAAGCCAACAAGTAGGCAATTCCCACCTATCAAAGACAGCCATTACAGGTCAGGTAAAAAGCTCTTTGAAAGAGAAGTTTCACCAGGAAAATAACAAGAAAGATACCGTGCAATTTCCTTAAAGGCAAGTTACATTCATCTCATTGTCAAAGTTCAGCAAACAGTTTGAACACTATCGGGTCAAACAGTTGAAATTTCCTTATATTTAAGGCTTCTATAACTGGAACAATCCTTTAAAAAGAAACAGGAGGGTTCGTATACTTCATCATTAGTAAATAATAACAAAACATTGATTGGATAAATAGTATGAGAAAAATACATGCTAATACTTTTGGCATTTACAAAAGAAGGAACCAGTAGATAAGAAACAAGGGAATATGGTCTTGTAGCCATAAGAACAGAATTACATTCCGTGACATTCATAGCTGGTTATATAGCAGGTCATTAAGCAATAACAATAGTTCGAGACAATTCACCATCATATAAGAAAGCAAAGTACCAGAACTTCCCCAATCAAGCGCGCAAAAGATGTTTACTTACAGCAGCAGAAGAGCTAAGGCCTGAACTGTCAAGGCCCTTAGAACCACAGATGTATCCAATTATACCCTGCAAAAAGTCAAACCATTTGATCTTACTATGAACATCAAATGCATCAAATCATCATACATAAAATACACTTGGTAAATTTTTCAAGAAAGTAAAAATGCAGCAAACAGCTTGGGTGAAGTTATGTGATCTAAACATGAAAGACCATCTAATACTTACTTCAACGAGTATCTTCGGAGGCCGCCAGTTTGGGACAATATATCAGTCTGCTATATTTCAAAACCCTTTAAAACCTTCATCCCGCTCCCTCTTTCCCTTTTGACTTGATTATTACTAAAAGATGGACTTAGGTAAGATGAACGACATTTCTTTGCTTAAGTAAGGATCTCAAAATTATCACAATCATATCCTTCTACAAGAAACCATAGAAACCCATATGGAAGAAAAGATCGACTACAAACCCCCTAACAGAGTTTATCCATACACACAACCTAATAGTGTGATCTTCACAATATAAATATCATTCATACATCAACCAAACAGACCATTAAGGCTTCTTGAATCTAATTTAACCATTGTTTCAGCAGCAAATGACGCGGTTCAATACCTTCTAGGGTGATTGCACAGACAAAAAAAAATGTTCAGAAATACCAAAAAATGACATTGCTATATGAGAGAGTGATTCAGAAAACAATGTAAGTGACGCAAAAGTACTTTTGCAGTTCCCTCTCTTCATGTCGACTTAAGTTATTCACGAAGGATGAATAACATCCTAATTGGTTATTGGTGCATCCAGGATATATTTCTCCATCACTTGGGAATTTATCTCATACTCTAAATGTCATACTAAGGGTCTTGCCCCTGATGACTTGATACCCTTCTAAAATTTTACAGTCAAATTTGCACGAGTCCTTCGCATATGATCCACTAAATGTTCCATTTCACAATAAATGATAAAATCATTTGTGTGTAGAAATAGTTCTAACCTGAGAAAGACGGTGACCTGTACTTTGCAGAGCATATTGAGCTCCTCTTGCATAATTTCCCCAATCACAGTCTTCATGTTGTGTGGAAGAACCATTTGAATGTACCTTCAGGTTTGTCCCATTCATAGGTTTCGGGTGCTGATTTTCATCAACTCTGTGGATCATATCCAATCAATTGCACTGGAATGGAAACTATCACATTGATCACATGCACTTATATTTTTTCATCAAACTACACAAAAGAAACAAAAATCTAAAACTCATATTCTTTGTCTTCAAAATGGAGAGCAAAAACATGTCAATCAATGGGGCTCCTAATTATGCTATTACATTACTTCTTGCAATCCAGCAGACAAGGACGTACCTCAGAAACTCACTTCTTTCAAGATTAAAAATTATCGAGAATGACCTGTCGATTAAATGGACCTTGATATGATAACAAGTTTTACTTCTACTATCCCAAGTTAAGGAAAAGGCTAGCCAAATTTAAGAGCACTTAATCTAACGTTGTTTATAGCAAATAAAGTTCAATATCACTGCCCTTAATGTTGATTAAATCTACAAACGCTATGTAGACTTAAAAAGTACCTAAAAGTAAGAATCTCAGGTGCTTTTTATACGTCTTCATGCTCATATTAACCCTCATATAGGAGCTATCTATCAACTTTATTAATCGAATGAAACAACGCGAGATCAATATCAGATGAATTTTAACTAAACCATCTAGTGGCATATGAGATAAAGCACTAACAACGCGAGATCAATATCAGATGAATTTTAACTAAACCATCTACGTGGCATATGAGATAAAGCACTAATGGGAATGAAACTAAAAGAAGTCCATACCGAACTTCTACTATCGATAATGACCTGTTAACAACCAGGACCCTGATAATCCCAAGTTAAGGAAAAGGTGTGCCTAATTTAAGAGCACTTAGTCTAACGTTGTTCATAGCATATTAAGTTCAATATCACTGCACTTAAATGTGCTCATTACTTTAGGACTCTCGTCCTACGATCGATATGTAGATTTACAAATACCTAAGACAAAGAATGCTTTTTTCTCCAATTTCATGCTCACTTTAACCCTTAAAATTGTACTAGTTATCAACTTTATTTATGAAATGAAACAATGCGAGATCAACATCAGATGAATTTCAAGTAACCATCTATGTGACGGTTGAGATAAAGCATAGATAGGAATGAAACTAAAAGAAGTCCATACCTAAACCGAACTTCTCCTCTGAACTGCTCAGAACGTAGATAAACCTGAACAACATTTACACATTCAGTTAATGGAAGTAGATCAATGCCGTCACGTTTAGAATAATAGCCATACTATTACACTTGATACATCATTGTCTGCACAAAAGCCAAAAAGGACATAACAATAATAACTATTATAACAGCAACAAGAACAACATGTAAGCAAGAGAAACCTCTGTAACAAAAATTTAGATTCTAAGAAGAAAACATTGCACATAACATAGCCAAAGACAAAAGTCATGTCCAAGTAGCAGGACATCAAACAAAACCCCAAAAACATCTTAGAGCCAGAGGGATCTCGAAATCGCTAAACAAAATGTGTGTACACATGGTAATGATCTAAGCCGAACATTCTAATACCTCTCAATATTTAAACTGGAAAGAGCTTAAACAATCCAAAATGTGAGCTTATACCAGAAACAACCTTACGGCATAAGTTAGCATTGTTTGGCTTAGCAGCCCACGTGCTAGAGTAAATTGAAATGGTTATAGGCAAAATTTAAGCCTTCCTGCTGAGCAAGTAAGCCTAATACCTAACTAATGATACATCTTGAGAAGCTTTAGTAAGTTACCTATATCCTCAATATAGAGATGTCTCTCATGTGCTTGAGTACATCTTTACCTTCAAAAAGCTTGAATTTTGGATCTTTCGTTTTTCTTTTAAGGAACTTCAATAAGAAGCGATGGGTTCTAAATCCAAAAGGAAAGAAGTATCAAAAGTTGGAACTTTACTTGAACCAATCTCAAGCTCGGTGCATGTGTCCATTCCCCACTATAATTTATTACCTTGTCTGCACATATATATAGCTCCACTGACAATGCCCATACTTCTATTTTCCTTGCACCTAGAAAGTGGCATTAGAAACCTCTAACAACTTATGCATTCATCTTATGCCAGGCCAATGTACTTTGTTGGCTCATCTAGTTCAAGACTTCAAGAGATTGTTTGGATACGAATAACAGTCTAAACATAAAATATTGAATTATAACACAAAAAGCAATGGAAGGGAAATGTAAGCAGAAAGGCCGGTGTTCCCAGGTTGCAGATTCCTTTCGATCTTCTTAGCCATTATGGGTTCCATCTAGGATCTATCATGCTTTTCCCATCTTTCGTTCCCTATTGTTCTTCAATTGATAGCTAGACACCAAACAAATATTTGCAGGGTTATGATATGAATGGAAGAATGCAGATTAATTTACTCATGATTGAGATCAGTAGCAAGATTGACCTTCTCAGCTTGGGTCCACAATTAAAGATCAGTAAAGCACACAAATTACATGCTTAGCAGAGAAACCTATCAATCATACATCACACATCATACACGAAAGGAAATCTAATGTATCCTTCACTTTCCAAACATTGAAAAACTGATTGTTATCGTGATGTAACAGAAAGTAACTCAAAATCCGACTAGTATGCTGGCTAATACTCACAGCAATGAAAAGAAAACGAGATGTCCTGTGTGACCTCAAGTTTCATATCCCGCAAACTAAAGCTTAGCACTAGTCAGGTTATGATAGCTCAACTTGTCACTCTTTGTTCCCTCTCATATGTCACATGACTCTTCTTTCTCAACTCAAACAAGTGAATTTCCTAAAATTTTTTGAAGCCAAAATCATACAAAACTCTTATGCTTTGTTTGGAAAGAGATAAAATGGGGAAGGAAATAAATTTACAGGAGAATATTTCAAATTTCCCTCAATCTTAATCGCACAAAATTTCAAAATTTTCTTTATTTCCACCCTAATTGTCCTTACCTGTTCTTTCTGTCCTTTCCCGAATGGAGTGTTGTTAGTAGCCATGATTAACAGTATATTAAAGAACGCTCAACTCCATTCAGTTTACCATGACTAACCTTATCCTGAAAGTCTAGGATGCTTGAACTTTTAGAGCTGCTCTAATTCCATAAGTATATGGAGATAACAAATACCATAGTAAAACATCCACTTGGTGATATAACTATGCAATTTACCTCTAAAGCCAAAGCATTTCACTTCTGTAACAGGATACAAGATATAGTGCTCTGTTGCTCTAAAGTTCCAGGTGCATAACTGATTTACATGATATATAAATGAAACTTAAAACTTGACACCCGCAGAAATGTCTAAAAGTGACTTAGCAATCCTAGAGGTAGTATGGCAAATAGATGTATCAGAAGCTAAATAGATCACCATCAAGGAGAATTTCGCAGGCTTCCACTATTCTCATAAAACCTAAGGTGAATCAATTGTTACCTGACTATCTCCGGAAGGAACAAATCCAAGAAGTATTCCTTTGTCAATTGCCATAGCGCAAACCGTTCCACCCTAAAAATTTTATTGAACAAAAGAGGCAACAGGCTTGTTCATATTCACAATAGATAGAAAATACAGATGTTACCCAAAAAAAGGACAGGAGATTTTGACTAAGTTGCATATCTGTTGAGGCAAATCAAAAACCAATGCCCAAATAGAAGGTCTTGTGCAAACACTATCTAGACAATTATATGGCAGAAATAAGACAAAACTGACCTGGTGATCTATATGAGCTCCCAGGGGGCAAATTCTATAAGGAGATACTGCAACCTGAACTTCATCTGTTCTTCGGCCAGCCATTTGAGAAACAACATTGCGGATATAGTTCAACTGCAAAGAGATAAGATTACATGGAGCACAATTCCCCAAGAATTTTGACATTCACAAAACTGACTACACTCTTCTCAAAATGGTCAAATAGAGAGATGATTTTCAACTGAACACACAGAAGATCCACGAATATCCCACTGACGCACCAAAGAAGTCGAAGCAAACCCCACTGGCATTTGACTCTTTCATCGATCTTTTCAAGGCAATGAGTAGGCAACAACGATGCTACTCCACTAGATCATCCCACATCACGATCAATCATCTCAAGAGCAACAAAACATCAGACAAAATGACGAGAGAAGGACGCCCAACACGCACAGACTATCTTCTACTTCAAGGAAAGGAACAAAAGAGACCAGGCATCATCCTTTGATTCTCAAGCTTCAAATGGCATTGCCGAGAGAACATCACAGCAAAAAATGTGGACTGGATTTAACCAAAGAACATTTTCCGACAATGCGGGTCGATTCATCGGCGTTCCCGAACTGCAGAGGAGATTCAAAAAAGAAAAAAAACGAGGTGGAGACGCCTAATGCGCACACCCCATCTTCTACTTCAAGAAGAGGAAGAAAAGAGACCATTGCAGCAGAAAATGTGGGCATTGCTGAAAGAACATCACAGCAAGAAACGCGGGCCGGCTTTGGTCGAAGAAAAGAACAAATTTTCGACAATGCCCATTAACCGGCGTTCACGAACTGCAGAGGATTTACCTGCGCGTCAGAAGGCCAAGACGACTCGCCCATCTTCCTTCCAGATCGTTGTCCGAAACTGCAGCAAACGGGACAGTGAACGTGAAACCTCGGCGGAGGCGAGAGAGTTGTGCATATACACACGCGGTCTCTGTCTGCAACTGAACGAGAGAGGGATGTAGCAGCGGTGGCGAAAGGGATCAGAAGCAATGGTGGAGCCGGTGGCGGTGGGTGAGGGGGGCAATCATCGTTTGAAAAGAAGCAGAAGAGAGAGAGAGAGAGAGAGAGAGAGAGAGAGAGTTGCGGTCGGTCGGAGACGGGAGTGAAAAAGGCGACGGTTTTGATGAGTGGCAGACAAATTAGGCTGAACCCACGGGATCTTCTTCTTCTTCTTTCGGCGTTACTCTATTTAATAAACATTCGTGCAAATTACCCTATTAATATTTGAAAAATTCCAAATAATGATCCAAAATATCTTTATTTTCTTAAATAAGGTTCAGAGTGCCATCATTTTCTCAAATGAGATTTGAAGTGAACCTTATTTCAAATAAAAATTTGAAATGACAATGTCAGTCTTAAAGAAGGGTTTGACCTCACTAGGGTTATGAGCATTTTCGTCTTCTGATTTTTTTTCCTTTTATGTTTTTCCATAAAAAAACTCAAAAAAGAAAAAAAGGATAAAGTTATAAAAAAAAAATGGAACACACAGGCTTCACATGTGGCCGCCGCCCATCGCTGGTGGGGTGGCAGCCATAGACGACATCCCACTTGCTTGTATTTTTCTTTAATTTTTAATCTAATTTAACTAAAATTTATGTTAAAATTATTTTTGGATGAAAATGCCCTTAAGCGGATAGAAAATTTGGCCAACCGGCGAGCCAGTGGGGTTAGACCCTTATTTGAAACTATTGTAGCCACTTCAGGCCCTTATTTAAGAAAATGATGACACTTCAGACCCTTATTTGGAATTTTTCCATTAATATTTGATTTATGAAAAAATGATATGTTTACCGGAAGTCTTAAAACTTATCACGAAAGTGCAATTGAGTCCTAAAACTTGTAAAAAGTGTAATCAAGTCCTAAAACTTATCAAATTTATTCAATTGAAAGCTAACACCGTCTAACTTACTAATGGAAAACGTTGACGTGGCTTATTTTAATATCTTCTCTCTTCTACGTGGCGATGACATGGCTAAATTATGAAATATAAGACTACAATGACATCGTTTTGGCTCAAATTTGATTTTTAATACTAACTTTTATTAAAATTAAATTTAAAAAACAAGCTAAATAATTATTAAAAAAAGGAGGAGGGGAGAAGTCAAGCAGGGAGGCTACACGCCGGCCCCTCCCGGTGATGGTGGGGCGGCAGCTACGACAGCAAGGACTTGTAGCCCTCCCCTCCTCCTTTTTTTTATTTTTAAATAATTAGCTTATTTTAAAAATTTGTATTAAAATAATAAAAAGAAAGGCCACGTCATCGCCATGAAAGAAATAAAAATAATATAAAAAAATCACGTTAGCATTTTCAGTTAGCTAAATTAGATGGAGTTAACTTTAGGACTCGATTGAACCAATTTGATAAGTTTTTAGGACTTAATTGCACTTTTTTCAAGTTTTAGGACTCAAATGCACTTCTGTGATAAGTTTTAGGATTTCCAGTGAAGATATTCCTATGAAAAAAAAAGGGAAAAAGCCCACCAAAAATTCTCAACTATGGTCAACGTGACACATCTACCATAAACTATTTTTCAGTGAAATAAAAAATCTTAAACTTGTACATGTGTGACACATTTACCCTCCGTCAAAGTTTTGTCAATGAGAATAGTTAAAAATATACCTACATGGACGCCAGAAAACAAACAACATAGACATATCGCCCATAAAAATCACATTGTTTTAGCTAAAAAAATCATATAATACCTTCACAGAAGGTAAATGTGTCACATAAATACAAGTTGGGATTTTTTATGTCACAAGAAAAAGTTTATGGTAAATGTGTCACAGTAAGCATAGTTTGAAATTTTTGATGTCACAAAAAAGGTTTAGAATAATATGTCACAATAGACAGAATTTAGAATTTTTTGAGGCTTTTTCTCATGAAAAAACTGGTAGGTGAAGTTAAAAAATCCAATGGAACCCAATGCGTAAAGTTAAGAAAAATTTTCACTCGATAAATTGAAAATTTTAAATAATGTAATAACTTTTCATCATGCAGTAAAAGGTTAACAGCAATATGTCCTTGTTTGAATTGTGGATATCTATCATCTTGTGTAATAGTGGATAAATGGTATGAATTAGTCGATAAATGGAACCAAGGGTTGCTATCATATTTTGAATTTAATGGACAAGTGACATATAATTCTCTAATTTGCTTTGATTTTTTGGCGGATTGATTGTAAATAAAATAATAGGAAAATCAAGGACATTTTTCGTAAATATGGAGCGGACACCAAATTCAAGAGTTTGCTTTATAAATACTTTAGAAAGATATCTATATCATTTTACAAATACCACCTCTAAAGTACAAAGAATATCCAATCAAAGAAAAGTACAAAGAATAAAGGGTTAATACCACAAAAACTCCCCAACTGATACATCTGTGATAAATTTATCACAAACTAATTTTTTGACAACGAAAAATCCCAAACTGGTACACCTGTAACAAATTTATCCCAAACTAATTTTTTGACCACCAAAAACTCCAAACTGGTACATTTGTGACAAATTTACTCTCCGTTAAATTGAATTAATACCATGAAAAATCACAAACTAGTACATATGTAACAAACGGAGGGTAAAACCCCAAACTGGTACACCTATCAACTGTCACGTATCATCAAACTTAGAAATTTGACTGTAAAATTTAACGAAAACTAACAGAGGGCAAAATTGTCATAGATGTATCAATTTGGGGTTTTTAGTGGTCAAAATATTAGTTTGGGATAAATTTGTCACAGGTGTACCAGTTTAGAGGTTTTCGTGGTATTAACCCAATAAACCATCTTCTAGTCATTTTAAAACTTTTTTTGTTATAGAAATATGGTTAAAGCCGAATATAAAAATTAATTGTTGGATTTTACCCTAAACAGATCTAATATAAACCCAATTCTACCCTCAACATACGGAAGAATCAGTGGACTTCTAACAATTTCAGTTGCATCCTTAGGCATCTATTCTGTAATTTAAACACCATCGCATCTAATTTAAATTGTTGCCTTCAACGAAGCCAATCTAAATCTTGGTAAAACACTACCAACGACCTCGCCTTCATTAAGTATATCCCCCTAATAACTAGTAAAACATTAAGCTGATATAAATACTAAATGATTCATTTTTATAACATGAGAATATATATTTTTTAAATAAAACGGTAAAAAAAGAAAAACGAGACATCAAAAATTTGTTTCCATGTTTTAACGGGCAGCATGGGGCGATGGCTTTTCCTTTGTTGGTTTTTTAGGGTTAGGAGGCATGGTGCTTGTATCCCCTGCAAGAATTCATTCACTTGTAAGAAAATCCGGTAACGAGTTTGAAGAGCCATTTTTTAATTGGATATCAATGTCAAATATTGATAGGATGGCTTACCATCGTTCAAAACTTTGTTTTGATGCAGTTTTTTAGGGTTTAGGAGGCAGGATGGTGATTGTATCCCTTGCGAAAATCCACTTGCAAGAAAATCTGGTAATGAGTTTGAAGAGTCATTTACAATTAGATGTCAAAGGCAAATACTGATAGGATGACTTGCCATTGTGCAATACTGTGTTGTGATGCAGTGTTTACAACATCCTTTTGTAAAATTTCATTTGCTGAATTACAATCAATGTGTAAAAGGAATTTTTTATATAATAAATCTCCTTGAAATTTGGAAATTGTTAAGACGATTGCTGAGATTTTTTTTTAATAGAAGAGTGGTTTTGTGGGGTCTGATTCCAATGTTTAGATATAAATTGAACAATTTGTTCTGTGTGTGATTTTTACTTGTTTGAGAATACTTTCGTATCCTATTTCTAATGTATCTGTTTCCACTACTTTGAAAGCAGATGGATCAACTAAATGAAGGCAAGAAATTTCTTTTATTTGAGTTTTAATTTCTTTAATCATTTTGTATAGATCGATGACCACGAGGGAGGATTCTTTTGTAGCCTTTGATACAAAGGTTTACAGAGGATATTGATATTCGGGAAAAAATCTAAATCATAATTAAGACTTCCTAAGAATCTTTATAATTGAGTTTTGTCTCGAATTTCATCTAGAAATTTTTCTAAAAAGATTATTGATCTTTCCATAAGAATGATGGTTCCTTGGTGAATGTAAAGCCAAGAAACCTGATTTTCGTTTGGAAAAGGGATATTTTAGTAGGGGAAATCACTAAATTGTTCTTTTTTATTATTTGAATGAAAATATGTGTTTAAATTTTTGTTCAATATTTGAGGAAAAGATGAGGACATCATCAATATAGATTATGATAAATTATGTGTATGGATTGAAAATTTAATTCATAATTCTTTGGAATTCTGAAGGAGCATTTTTTTAGTTCAAATGGCATGACATTTCATTCATATTGGCCAAATGGTACTGCAAATACAATTTGTAGTGATCTTTTTTTATTAATTTGGAGTTAATAAAATTTTGATTTCATATCGAATTTTAAAAAAAACTTTTGACTAGCCTGTTTAGGAGATTTTTTGTTTGGGACAGGACACCTTATCCATATTTAGTGCCTTGTTTAAAGGTTTATAGTTGATAATTAATTTTGGAACACCTCTTTCTATTTAAGCATTTTCGTTTACATAGAATGTAGAGCAACTCCACGGGGATTGGTTTTTTCTAACAAGCTTTTTTTCTAAGAGATCTTGGATCTTTTTTTGGCAAAATTACAAAGCTTGTTCATTTATTTGAGATGGTCTGGCTTTTGTTGGAATTTTTTTTTCAGAAAAATCAAGTTCATAAAATTATTCAACAATATGTTTTTTCCTAACCAAAATGCATTAGGCAAGGTGGATCAAATAGTTTGCTCAACATATGATTGTAGCAAAATGATTTTGTTTTTAGTTTTTGGTTCAAGAAGTTGTTCTATTTTCTTGAAATTTAAGTTTTATTTTCAGAATTGGGGTTGGTTTTCTTTATCTTTGATGAGACAGTTAATTTTAGAAGTATAATTGTTTGTGGTTTAGGGATGAAATCAAAGGTAATCTTATTTTCTAAGGCATGAGTTTATATACCTTCAGTTGTCATAGTGAAAGGTTGTATTAACTAGATAAATGGTGTGCCTAGGATGATACTTCGACGTATGTCTTTGGCTAAACGGAAATATGTTTTCTAAGAAATGTTGTTATTAACAACC